CCCCAAAACCCCAAAACCCCAAAACCCCAAAACCCCGTATTGGACAAAAATTATTGAATTATTTATATACATCTATGGAACCTACTCACTTGGTAAGGAGGATACAAAGAAAAATTGAGATAGCAGGAGACAAGAAGTTCCCTGCTCCTAGAAAAAGAAATGCTTTAAGCCCAGAATTCCATAAGCAATTTAGCGCGATTCCGACGCCGGTTGGAAGGAACTTAAAGTCTCCGGACTGTGTTAGGTCAGTATCACCTCTTAAGACGGAAGTGTCTGACAATGGTAAGCTTCAGTTTGGTCTTAATTCCTCTTCTCAGCTCTGACCAATCTTGTAGGGACCAAGAAATTTAACTATAAAGACGTTTTTAACAGCACTTATGTGAAGGACACTAGGAAAGAATTTGAGAGCTATCTTGAAAAGCATGGTGGAAAGTATAATCCTGGTTTTAGTCAAGAGAGCCTCATTCCTGGTCTTATTAGCAATGATACTAAAGAAGGCTGGTCAAAATTCGCAGAGATAATTAAATAAAAACCCTCTGAACGAGAACGTGCCCAAAACTATTAAATTCATGAAGGGAAGGAAGTTCATAGTTGAAGCCATTATGAACTCGAAGCATAAAAATTTATTACTTCAGAACGAGAATGTGCTCAAGTTCTTCTGATATAATAAGCTTGTTTCAAAGCAGAACGGTAAGCGAGCGGGTAGTGAGGTGAAGATTTCGGATAGATTGATCAGTTAATATTATCACTTCGTAGGAGCAAAAATAATTTTAAGACTTAAAGTAGCCTTTAAGTTAGATATGGTTGATATGGGCTGATATGGTTGTCTAAAGTTCCACATAAGTAGCTAAATCCTAGAAATTTACCCAATTTTGAAGCGATATTATCACAATTAGAATAATTTTAGAAATAATAGATTTTTTAACTAAATCCATTTTTCCCTTAACTTTCTAATCATTGATGAGGAACTATGTCCATCCTTTTGGTGCAGCTTTGGGAGCATTAGAAGCCCATCAAGTATCCCTAAGGTATACGTAAAAACTTACTACCTTCTCTTTTTATTTTCTTGATATCCAAAGAATATTAATAAAGTTCACCTTCTTCAAGAATTTTGAAGGTAGTTGAAGAATCGTAAATTTTTATCCACAGATTTTCATATCATGACGTTTCCTGGTTTATTGAGTAATGTAGCTTGATAATATTTGAACATGCCTCTCCTTGAAAGTTAGCCAAACTATAAAACTTTGGGAGGTCTAGGATCTATGAGCATAACTGTGGCAGTAGTGAAAGGACAGCTGCAATAGCTTTAGACTTGTGGTATAACTAGTGCTAAATAATAGACCTAATCTCTAAGTCGATTTTAAGTCTAAAATCTAGACAGTTTGAAACTTCTTGAAATATTCATAACTAAAATTCTTTTCTTTAAGAAACTCAGAAGTTATGGTGATATTTTACTGTGAAAGTATCAAATAGTGTCTTAAAAGGATTCTAGATTACAGAGATTCCATTGAGAGTCTTAATTGTGTCCTCAGTATAGAGACAAAAGTGTACCCTAGTCCATAGCATCTTTGGCTATAATCTAGCATCTTTTCTTTTATTCTGTGTCATTACTTCCTGGTTTAGCCAATTCCTTCACTGTGGCTCTCACTATGACTACTTTGGTGATGCAAGTTGATAGATTTTTCATTTTATAGTTTAAGGTAGATTTGATAGAGTTATGAGTAATTTCAAAAAACCCAGAGCTATATTATCTTCACAAAAGAGATAGTTATAGTTAATGCCATCATGACGTGTTAGTGCACCTTCTTGAAAAATCTTTTCTCATAGACTATGAAAGCTAATTTTCCAGAATATAGTGTCTGTGAAATCAGTAAATTCTTATCATTCCTCATTGAAATTATTGATAACTAACAACTCTTATAGAATCATATGTTGAGAATAAGCCTCATAAAACTCCCACAAGGCATGAGACCAAAGATCATGTAAGTTACTGGTGTTTTTATGGTTTAGATCACAAATTTGATTAATAATCCAGGGTTTATACGAAAATTGCAGAACAAAGAATTTGAGAAAATGAAACAAACAGAAGCAGAACTCAGAATTTACGCTAATGGGAGTGATAAAAGTATAAAAATTGACCTTAATGGCTACTTCATTGCCTTTCACTTAATCACTTTTGGTCTAGAAAGATATACATTTTATTGTCACAACTTAAATTCTGCCATTATGAACTTTTCATACATTGGCTGCGATTAGTCTTAGATCCTTAACCTCTGTAAATATAGCCAAAGCTAAGATGTTCAAAAAGAAGAACATATTGAAAGATGTGAAGACACTTGGAAAGGAAGTAAACAAAGGAGGAGCAGCTGCTTTGGCAAGGTAAATATTCTCAATGTTCTCTCTAACCCTAATCTTATAGAACTCTGACCAAGAACATTGGAGTTAATCATGCATTTGCCCAGAGGACTATCACTATGGGTGTGAATAACAATCCTCAGAATGTTTTAAGTTTCCACTCCTCTTCCTCAAAGAAGAGAGGAACACATGAAGTCATCTCTCAACTTGTTAATTTCCAACGTGAGCAAAAGAAGGAGGAAGAACTCAAGAAAAGAGGCAATAATTATGACTCTAATGAAAGTGAATCAGAATCTGATGGAAGTAAGTCCATTTCTGTAATCCCTAGGACCTCAAGAAGAAAATCCCGCTATTAAGAAGAGAGGTGTTGTATGTATCTCCAGGATCGCTGCTCCTGAATTTAATACTTTTGAGGATATTTCTGAAACTCAATCTGATAACGACAGCAACGATCAATTCCAGAAAACGATACCGAAACAGAAGGTCAAAAAGGAGAAGGCTCCTGGATTTACGATCCATTCGACCAATAAAGCCAAGCCGAAGTATAAAGTGAACAATTTATCTATTAATAATATTCGCGCTCACGCAATAAAGAACAATAATTTCCAAAATGGAATGAGGTGTTTATCACCCAACCTCGGCCTCAGGGTAAGTTCTCGCAATCATCTTTAGCAACGGAGAAATATTTTGAAGACACATAATAAAGGTCAGTCTCTAAAGAAGAGCTTCCAGAATAGTGAATGAAGCGAGAAAGCTTCACCTCGGTCTGCTCATAGGTATTTAATCACTAATTTCCTAGGCCAAAATCGAGATGAAATTTCAACCAGGGTAATATCCGAGTGAAGAAGATGAAAATGAAGAGAAAGAAGTTTGAAATCTAACCCCTATTATTCTGGGGGTGGTCCAAGCATGATTTACCAAAATTTGCATAATTAACAGTAGCATGAAATCCTCCTTTCAGCGTTCGGAGAAATAAAAGGGGTTTTGGGGTTTTGGGGTTTTGGGGTTTTGGGG